CGTGGCCATATTCAGTCCTGTGCAACCTGACCTGACCTGACCTGAACTGAACTGAACTGAAGCTTCGGCGGGCATTTCGATTTAGTTCCATACAGCGCTAAAATGTCCGTTGGCATTCCGATTAAAGTTTTGCACGATGCCGAGGGTCACGTAATTACCCTGGAGACAGTCAACGGTGAGGTCTTCCGGGGAAAGTTGGTTGAAGCAGAGGATAATATGAATATTCACATGTCCGACATCATAATGACCGCCCGTGATGGTCGAACATCAAATCTACAACAGGTTTATATCCGCGGCAGCAAGATCAGGTATGTTTGGTTTGTATCCTTATTAGTGAAGATTTCTCATCCTTCCCGATATGTTGAAAAACTCTCCAATGCTGAAACGCCCACTTGGTGCGAAGGGCCTGGGAACAGGTAGAGGAAAGAACGCGATGATTCGAGCAGGAGGTATGGTTTTTATGTTTCCGTTATGCCTTTGCAGTTGCAGTTTCCGTTCGTGGTCGCGGTCGTGTCATGCGAGGAAGAGCTGGCACGACAGGTGCTGGTGGTGCGCGAGGTTTCGGAAGGTTCTGATCTGTCCCATGTCCTGCTGCATTTGTACACTATTCACCGAATATATTTTCCTAATGAGTCTTGTCTTCGCGGTTCTAGTGTTCATTGTGCAAAAGATATGGTCATGAAACACCTATTTGTGGTGGACAGTTACAAACTTCAAGCTGCGACCTTGGAGTGGCAATAATATAAGCCATCATCGGTTGTCACTAGCGTCATTAAAGAAAGGAACCCCACAATGATGTCCCCGTTATCTTCTATGAATGAAAGGAAATATTGTGCTATTAGGTCACGTAGAGAGAGTTTCAACAACCAAGTCCGTGGCCTGTTCACCACATACCAGGATGCCAAGTTTGTTTCTATAACACCCCGTGGTGTCCCTATTAGACTTGCGTTTACGTTTGTTAGGCTTCTTGGATTTCCAGGTAATGAAACCATGAGTTTCACCCGGGAATATCTGTAAAACAACGCATGCGTCGCGCTACCGTGCTGTCAGTACAAACAGTTTCCGAAACCACCGTTGGTGTTTTTTAGTGATTCTTGGTCTTTAAGAAATGACCGTCATCTAGACTTTGCCTTCGGGCACGGTCTTCTGTTTATCGGGTCAAACTAATTCGGGATGCCACACGCCCGAACTGTACTGCATTTATAGTTCACCAGGGGGCTGTATCCACCCTTGCATCCTGGTATTTAAACTGAACCTCCCCCATACTGGGGTGGGGGGAGGGTTCGGCGCGGTACCACCGTGTCAACCGGCTCACAAGTGGACCAACCAGAATTAACGGTTTGAGTTTGTTCTAGTGTAGTCTTCAATGATTGCCAATTTGCTATGACCCAGTAGCAATGATGGGAGACAACTGATTATCCGTTAACTCTTATGAGATGCACACTACTCTTAGGCTCTAAAGAGTTCAGAACTCAAACTGACTCCTTCCAAACGAAGTGCATGCTTTAAGGGTAACTATCGAAATTCAACGATCAATCATCAGCTGACTTTGGAATACAATGAGATGTATTTGTATTTCACGCACGTCTGAATCTAGGCTGCCAAACAATGCAGAGAAATAATCTTTATACAAGAGAGAAAGTTCCGAATTTGCATGCTGGTGGAACACTGCTAGGTAACCCAGGACAAGGCATGTGAATAGTCTTGAGGAATACACAACCGGGTCCTCAGCTAGCCATAGCCGGACCCACAAGGCAAAGGGGCGGTGTGCGAAGACCGCAATCCATTGTGGTCTGGTGTTCAGTTCGTCGGATCGTACGGTCTTTAGACGTTTTTAAGCATCATATTGTCTGGTCCACGTCGACATCCCACCGAGTCACTGATTACTACCCCGGCACGGAGGGTGTGTGGCTCGTTCTAATTTTCCACCAAATCATTAGCACATACGTTATTCGGTGGAAAATACGTTATCACATGGAATTCAGATCAGCAGGCTTCGCGAGTTAGGACACGTATTGCGCACGTCCAGCTGTCGTTTACTGCACTGCGCCTTATTCGTAGTTGCGGCTTCAGGCTGAAGGAAATCACGCCGAGGTCAACGGATGATGTGGAAATGAGACATGGAAAAATGCACAGAGCAATAAGCAAGAGTAGATCACCTGTCTTCCAGGTGAGGGTCCCAAAGACTATAACTAGTTGGTTGGGGATGCTGAAGGATATGGCGACTAACCGACAGCAGTGGCTTTCTTGTTATTTCTTATCAGGTCAGAATGTTTTAAAAGGTATGTGTACACAGTTAAGCTGTGCACTCTGAGTTTACCACAGGGGTTCAATCTCATTGACTCCCTCCAATTAGGCAAAACCCTATCCATCTGTACTTTCTCACTTATTATATACACCGATTATTTGGTAGCGATCAGAGAGGTTCGCCTCTCTGCATTTGGCTGTGCGATGACGATATAACGGAGTCAGCAAAATCCTGGCAACCAACCTAGAAGGGACGTACGAACCACATACCTTGATTTTGAACTGGACATTGACCTCCGATGGACTGCGGCTTCTAGACAACCTGCGACACTGCCTTGCGGGTCAGGTTCGGCCAGTCAAAGGNGTCAAAGGCTCCAGTTGTGAATTCCTCAAGAAACTCCACCGGCCTTGTCCTGGGCATCCTGGCAGTATTCCACCAACGAACAAATCATGGAATTTTCTCTCTTTTATAAGGACTATTGTACCATGATTTGTTTGGGGCAATCTGGATTCAGACTTGTGTGAAACGCAACATCTACCGATAAGGATTGAACTTGTCCAGTGATGGTTTGCGCAGTCTTTGCGAGATCTCTTGAAAATTAGAAGTGAGTGATTCCCCCCAAGGAGATGGAACACGTTCATGTGACCTAATGTACGGTAAGTCAGTAACAGAGCATTCTAGGTTGTCACCTCCCAATCGTAAGAAGAGTGAAAGGAAGCCCGTCCGGTTCTGCTACTTCTCTCTTCAGGGTTTGAATCCAGGATCGAACTTCTCCCAGAGGATCAAATGGCACTGCCCACGGAGCATCAGTTGCAGATGAAGCAGCCAGGTGATGACGAAGCCGGTTCAGTAGGCCAGGGTGGTGTAGACATTGTACTCAACAATACAACCGAAGCCGCACTACTCGATTGGATCCCCG